ATGGTTAGTCTGTTACAACTCCAGAGGCCAAAATGGCTTTATCTCACTGTGAAAAGACCATGGCATTTATTTATTGAGCATGTATTTATTGAGCATGTATTTATTTTTATACATGGGAGAGCTGTTCCTCCATACCTAAAAAATCTTATCTGTGCAAATAAGCCTTAAAACATCTGAACACGTACTTTTTATCAGAGGATTCAACAAGTTTCAAAATCTCTGGCTGCTCTTCTCGCTCTGCTCCTGTCTCCTCCTCCATCCTGTGTGTGTGGCTCTGTGTGTGTCATTCATTGAGTTCCACTGCCGTGTGCATGCGCATGTTTCGTAGACACAGACAGGAGAGGCAGAATAGAGGCTCATGCGTGAATGTCCAACAAATAACTCTGATTGTTGTTTCAAAAATAGAAAACCTGGTTTCATTTCTTAGTTATGCCCTGGATTTTGTAGTGTTTGTGGACGCTATGTTGCTACTGGAAAGTTACTTGATAAATAAAGCAGCGACGCTACGGTCAAGCTACTGGAAAATGTAATTAAACGAATAGCTTCGCTACATGTAGCGGCGCTACTGCCCATCACTGACTAAATGATCTCCTCCTGTGTTATAAGGAGTGTTCTGTGTTCTGACTCTGCTACATGTTTTTGGTTACCCCTGCCATCGTTTGACTCCAATATCGTTATTGCGATTGAAATACGATATATTGCACATCTCTACTCCCAAGCTCCTCTTGGGTGTCGCTGTATCCCGATATTACCTTCTCGGCTTCAACAATTTGCAATTTTTGCTGGTTTGTGTCATGTCTCTGTTTGAGAATCTCCTCCATACTCTGCTCTCAGCTCTCCAATTTCCTGCCTTTGATAGATTTAGTGTCCGACACAAACTACATCACCAATGAGGCTGCTTGTGAGCTAAATTTGAAGAGTGAGGATGTGAAGCTTATAGTCTATGGAGTCAGTTGGATGCAAGTGACAGTGGAGACCAAGCACTACCTCCTGAATATCCGGGTCGCAACCCCAAAGGGAGCCCTGAGATCCCACCAGTGTGTTACCGGCTGGACAGCATAGCAGACGTCAATCGCCGTGTGTCGCCCAAGACTGCAAAAATGATTCCCCGACGTCCCTCCTAATGACCTGGTCCGTCCCACCAAAATCAAGCACAAAGAAGGCCAACTCGTCCCTCAGAAGGTGTGCTCCGTCGGTGACCTTGTCCTGTGGGATTGTATCCTTGGAAAAACAGTTGTTGGCTTTCAACCAGATTTCCTGGAAGACGTCAAAGTGACGGCCCATGGCTCTCCCTGAGAGCTTCTGTCCTTCTGCACTCCTGCTTACCCAACCTCCTCAACATGCGACCCAGCTCTACAGAGCTATGGTAATTTGTCAGGCATTTAATTCAGGTCTACTGGATGTATTGAAAGGTTGAAGGATGGTAGTTCCAGAACAATGGAGTTTACATACACTTGTTCAGCAGAATGTAGAGTCCTACCAAATCCAGTGTTTCCCAATCATAGATTGCATGTATTTTCAATTTATACTAGATATTAGATTAACATATTTACTACATGACAAATCCATTCCATTTGTATATATTTTACATGTGAACTTTCTCTAAAATCATTTTAACACAGTGACTGATACTAGGCAAAAACTGTTCACACTAAAAACACTAATGCTGCTCTTATACCAAAGGCTGATGCGCTTGGAGGGCATTTTTGATTAGCCTC